CCCATAAGTGAAGTGGTGGTTCCCCAGCACATTTTATCACTTGCCTTTATGTGCCTTTGAATAATAAACTACGAAACCGATTAAAAGTACATCAATGTGTTAAAAGTACACTTTTCAATCGATTTTCTTAGTTTGGGTTAGGCGTTTATAAAAGTATATACTTTAGGTCATCTAATCGGCCGGGTCATTCTGTTTAACTCTCATTGTACTTGATAACTAGATGAATTGTGGTGATGCGTCTGCTATGTCATAATTTTGCTAGCCTGGCTTGCGTTCGTACGTGCTTCAACTCAGCTCTTATTCTTACAACTTGCTGAATGGACATTGTCATAGAGGAATTATTTTGGGTACGTAGCTACTCTATTCCGCTCAATACTCTAGTCCCTTAATCTTATTATTAATTTTTGTTTTGCTTTAGCTTTGTTTCTTCCTGAGCTATGTGGTTGTGAAAATTTGTTTATTTGCATCCGTATTGGTTAAGCATGTTGGTGATGTTGTTATAGTTTACACTTTTTTCTAAATCTATTGACCCACTACTACCAGCTCACATATCCTCAAACTAGTCTAACATTTCCCACCGCTACACCCAGAAATCTTCTGTCTCCTCGAATTAGTGTTAAAAGTTGCCCACTTTTTTTCGTTTACCGTTGTTACATTAGTAAAATCGACTTTTACCCTTCACGTTATTAGGTTTCAATAGCTAGAGCAATAGAAAATTGATACTGATATTGAGTGCAAGTCCCCTTTCGTCTCTTTTCCAGATTGTTGAAATAATTAGCGGCTTAGTCAAAAATTTTCATTAATTTATTTGAGTATCTAGCTAGTAGACTTGTGTCTTGCGCCCTTATCATTCGGATTTACATGTCAGTAAGTTCTATACGTAGGTATTGTCTTCTAATCTCTTATCAACTTTGACTAATTAATTTCTCCTCGTTTCGCTTGAATGAGGTTTGTAAGTTGGAAAGCGGAAAGCAAAGAAAGTAGTTCTAGAGATCCCATTCGAGCCAAGTCCTTCTACTTTCCATTGCTTTTATTGCTACCAGTTGGAACATTTGTAGACGTGTGTTATAACTCGGGTATTTCTTATAGCAATTTTAACCTTCGTATATAGAAATGAATGAGATTCTTTGTCGCAAGGGAAGTAGCTCTAATACTCTTTCCTTTATTCCACCTGATCGCTACTTTGGCATGTACCTAACTAAGGAACCAATCTTTAAACAGGGCTCTCTCCAGAGGTAGGAAGATGCTGTTCTTCTAACGGATTGGTCTTCTGCTTGAAACTATTTCCTCACCACTATCGGTCAATCCTTCACTCCATGACTTTCTATAAACAGGCTTCTAGCGAATACTAGATTACAAATGGAATATGAAGCTAATGAAGCCTATTCCAAGTTCTTAGTTATCTTTTTTGTGGGAAAGCCCTAGTCTATAGAACTACTGAAAGTGCATACCAGATTCTAAAAAGGCGGCATGCTTTGTATTTTAGCGGCTCAAGCAAATCGAATTTGCTTTCCTATTGCATGAGGGGTGTGGGGGGGGGTGAGGGAGAGAGAGAGAGTGGTAGCAAGCCGGTTCACTTGGCAACTATTTCCCCAGAGGAGTATTTGGGCGTGACCTAGTTAACTCATTCACTAAATCGTCCTTCCTCTCTAGAGTGATCGTGCGGTTTATTAGATCTTTTCTCACCTTAAAATCTCCCATTTTTAGCCAATACTTTACCAGAAAGTCCTCCCCTAATAACATGAAGTTTCAGATAAATTTCTCACTGAAAACTTCTAGTTATTACTACCTTTGTGTTGTTTTGATATCGATAGATAAATAAAAGTCTCAAATTTCCCAGTATTTCGAATCATTTTTTAGAAAGAATTTAGTGCTTTGTGAAATTCAAAGATATTTAATTTTGTCTACGAATTGGCTTAATTAGTTTTGGTTGCGAGGGTGTGCTTGTCAAATGCGTACTGTCATTGTCTCAAAGTAAGTATTTGTGATAAATTCTATTGGAGTCTCCTAAAGTGCACTGGCGTAGTACCATCCCAAATATTTATTCTCTAATGGTCAGATGTTGCCTTCTCAACACAACTTTTGTTTGCGAATTTAGTATTAGATAAAATCTTGAAGCGTTTCTTTGCAATATTTCTTTTTTTGTTTCTAATGAACTAACCAGTAATGCTAAGATTACTCCCAACTTGGAAGACTGAAAACAATCCTCGTTCTGGCAACCACTCCTTGTCCAATGTGGTTGATCATTGAACATGTGTAGGTGAATCTGGCGTGCACGACAGCTGATTTTCTTTATCCCTTTAATTCTTTATTAACCTTTTCTAAATTTATGCGGCTGATAAAAGCATGCATGTGGAAGTCTACAAATCTTCACATTTCCCTATTGCGTTCTGTCGTTGAATTAGCTAACTGTTGAGCTTTTTTCTTCAAAACTCTTATCAAGTCGATATTTTTTTAGTCACAACCTGCCCGAAGCAATGAGGCTTCTCAGGCCGATATCGCGGGTACCGTTAGTGACGTGAGTAGTGATCTCTCACAAAACTTCGCTTCTCGTCTTAAACTTTCCGGCGCTGTAGACCCAGCTGGGGATGAGGATGAAGATGAGACAAAATCAAGTGAACCCCAAGAGGAAGGGAGACCGGATAACAATAGTGCTGAAGCAGGAGCTAATGCTGCCGGGTTGAATGCTATTAATAATGACAGTACCGATGCAACGCCACCTGTTGGTCTTGGACGTGTCAAAGTGTTACTTCCACCTGGAGGTCTTGTGGAGCCTCCTCCTCCGCGTTTGCCCATGCCACCACCCAAGCCTTTCCCTCCGCCTACTCCAAGGGCAGCTGTTGTTCCGCCTCTGGAAGAGTTAGCTCAGATTGATGAATATGTTCTGAAGGTGAGACGATTTTTCTCGCTTTCGTGTTTTATAAAATTCGCGCCTTCTGTTGGAATAATTTTTTGCTGCTATTTTTTACCAAAAAATTGCTAGCAATAGCAAAATAGTCCTATAAGATACGAATGAGGGACAGGATCTCGTAGAAGTAGCTCATCGGAACTGAGTCTTGAGAATCGTGCAGACTTTGAATTCAGAGTTGTTTGCTTTCACAAATGTGCCATTTGACTTATTATGCTTCTAAGTTTAAATTTACTGTTATGCTTTTGAGATTCCTTGGTCATATTCAAAGCTTATCGACTATTTGATTTGATTCAACATGGAACTATCCCTCTTCCATTCATTTGTAATTTCTTAAGCCAAAAACGGGCATATCCAACTGTATTTATTAACTGCAATAAACTTTGGCATTGGTAAGATTTTCTGTTTTTAGAGAAATTCGGACGCATTTACGTTTACGTTTTAAGATTTGGTAGCATCACCACTTAGTTCTTCATAGTTACGAAGATGAGGCAATTATTCCATTATCTTCTGCATAAAGTCAATTGTCTTCCTATTCCTGACAGCTCGGCGAACTTGAAAATTTGATGTAAAATAACGAATAATGTCCGATATCGATGAGTGAACAGGATATTAGGAGAATTAAGCATTTAAGAAATAACCATACTATCTATGCAGACTGCTTCCTATCAAGTCTTTTTAGTTATTAATTAATTCTATTTGTTTATTTTTAGTTGCTCAATGTAAATCCCCTCTTGATAACGGATTTGGTTTCACAGTTAACAAGGCACTGTAAGTCGGATGTTGAAATCGTAAGGTTAGTCTTTTTCTCCAAGAAACTATTGCTTATCCATTTCTTATCAATTAAATCACATCGCATCACTTTTTAAAGGCGTCTCTTTCGATGGGTGACGACTAAAAATTTCGATGCTGTTGAATATGATCCTTCCGCTCCTAGTGATTCCTTTATTGGGATGCTTCGGAATGTCCAAGCGGGTTCCCTCTCTAGGAATGAGCTCTTTCACGAACTCTGTCGGTAATCATCTCGCATTGATATCTTATCCACTTTCGTAAATTTAGATTTGCAGGAATTTACTGCCAATACATATCTGGCTACTCAAAAGGAGCTGGATACCGACCAGGAATGTCTCTTAAACAGGGCGCTTTGTTTCGAAACACCTGGTTGGTCGTGTTCGTGGCTGATGGCTGGAGATTTGTGAATTGTAATTGGGCCGCTCGTTACGCAACTTCTACTTGGAGTTCTCTGTCTTCTGGTCGTAAGTTTTCTTTTCTAGTTTTTACTGTGCTCCATTAAATATCTAATCTTAAATCTGCGATGCTCTCCTAGTTCCAGATACGCCTCCTCCAAAGTGTGACGACTTCTACTTTTTCACGGATCCTGAGCAGCACATCTTTGAGCATTGGCCTGATAACAAGGTTTGGCAATTACTCCATGCTAAGCCTGTTTCTCAAGCGAGATTTATCTCCCTACCTGTACTTAAATCCGCCTTTTTCAATGCTGGCCTATCCCTGAAGAAGCCTTACTCCCAAAAGCTTGTCACCAAGAATGGACAAGTGAGTTCATTGCGTCTTAGTATTAGCGAAATTCGCCTCCTTCCTATAATAAGTAGAAATCCTCTTTGGGGCTCGATATACATCGGCTTATCTGTATTCTGATAAAGATTTCATTTTGAAACTCAAAGAAGTTCTAATAGTCAATTCAAAGTTCTATCTGCTCCGTGCTTTTCCTTCTCTAGAAATGTACGAATTTCCCCAATTTCGCGAGACTTCCTCAGCGTTTTCTTTCGCTTCTTTTTAGCATTGTCAAGATTATGGGCACTGTCCTTGATGTGTCCATTTAACTAGGTCATTACAAGTGGCAAGTATTGTCTAGGTTTTCTGAGTGAAAGGTGTTTATTCTCTATCCCAAGAGAGGATTTTGGCTAAGTAATCTCAATGGAATTGATCTATATATAAGCCAAGTGAAGTTTTCATGAAAACCATCCAAAGCTGCTTGAATCTAATAGTCTTCTTTGATAGAAAATGTGTTCTTTAACTTGACTTAATTGATAACTTTGCAGTATTTCTATTTAAGAGTCCACTGATCTATCCATGACTATCGGATTCATTTATCGGATGTGCATGTTGTAATTCGCATTTTATCTTTCTCTTTAGGTGAGTATAAAACTACGGATGCCTTATTTCATTGGAATATCCTGTAGCCTGGAGAATTGTGCAGATGGGAGCTTTCTCCGTGGCTTCTCTCTGGCCGAGGTGCTTATCAAACCGTCGGATATGGTTCGCATCCACTGTGCTCCTTCACAACCTGGTCACTATTACCTCAATGTCTATGTTTCCCCCGATTGGCGACGCGACGATATACGCGAACTCGCTTGCTCATTTCAAGTAAATAGTTTTTCATTTTATCTCGAAATCATTGAAATTATGTTTATTACTCTTTACTGCATTCATGCGAATATTTCTTATTGCTATTTTGGGTGGAGTTTGAGACATTTCTAGTTGTATTAAGTTTTGTGGTCAATGCTCGATTGATCATTTAATAAGTCAACCTGGAATTTAGGCTTGAGGAAAATTAAAAGCCAACTCTATCATTAATTGATTTCTATAATTAAAAATGCCTAGAAACATTTGTTCGTTAAGATCAGTTCAACTAACTTTGCAATTTGTACTAATCGACATTTTTTCACATGTTTAGGTGCAATGTTGTGAATTCAATTACCCACGACTTGTTGTGATGGGCCGACTTCCAGAAGTAGGGTTCTTAGGTAGAACCCTCGCTGCACAACACTTCGGCGTCTCCCTTCTCAAAATCACTGGGAGTGGTTGCAACGGTAACCGACCCTATATTCTCCATACTTCCTCAGAACCGCTCAAAATTCCCTTCTTTATCTCCCCTGGACTAAGGGTGCGTTTATAACTTTCCTGATGTTTCATTGACAGAATGGTTATTATAACATATTCTTCTCTTCTCTTTTCTAGTTATGTCATCAACTAAAGTCGTTCGATCGTCCTGGTCAACAGATGACAGACTGTGACAACTTTGCTCTCCTCCAAATGCGGCCTTCTTCCTTTCCTAGCTTTGACAGTAGCATTGCAAGTACTTTCTCTGCGAATGCTCTCCCTCTGCCTTACTCGGCGTCTTCAGCCAACGCTCATTATCACCTTCGTCTGCCTGTTAGTGCATTCTACTACCTCACAATATACGCAGCCTTTGAGGAGACTGGTACAATCACCACAGAGGCTAGCGATCATCTGGAGTGCGTCTACCGTATCCTGGTAGATGCTAGACGACCTACTATGGCCAGTGGTTCTGGTCTTGTTCCTGCTTTTCCTAAGCAGACCTACTGGTGGGTGGGAGCTAGACTTCTAGAACCTACTCGGCTCAACCTTGATGTCAATAAACGTCACCTCTTCCGACTTGATGTACCAGCTAAATATGTCTCAGTTGCTGTGGTGATCAACTCCTCAGAATGGCACTTTCTTACCTCTAATTCTACGTCAAATTCTAATAGTTCTACGAACTCAGTCCGATGGTCTGGAAAGGTGACTCCTACTGTTACTGGGGAACTGGCTGTCTATGCTTCCACAAAAGCCGGGTCCCCAGTTAATGAGACCTCCGAAGGTGTTCCTTATGTCAAGCTCCTTGAGTATAATATTACAAACTCTTGTTGAATATGTAAACTGTCATTTTATGCAAATCCACAAATATATGGACTTACTTTCTACCTTCTGGCTTTTTGAAATAATTAATCCTGTTCTCCAATCCTTGAGTTCATTAATATTTTTTTATTTATATAGAAATGGAGTTTCAAATAAACGAAGAATTTGCCAAGCATTATAATGAATACAGACAAAAGGAGGAGTTGATGAAACTCAAATCCAAGTACGGTGATGTTAAGTTGAAAAAAAAGCCCATGGATAATGGAGATATGAGTGACGTTGACTCTGATTCCTCCTCGTCTTCAAGTGATTCAGATTCGGAATGGGAGGATCAAGAACAGGAGGACTTCTTGCGTCTCTACGATGCCCTCTGTCGTAATGATCCAGCTCTGAATGATGAGGAGAAGGTGTGGTTTAAGGAAAAGCCGGAGGATGAGGGAGAAGAACAGAAGAAATCCAAGAAGGTGAAGCCAGTCTTGTTGAAAGATCATGCGAGAGAGCTTTTGCTGGCTGAAGGGAAGGATGATGTACCCACCACTGATCCCAAGGACTCGAACCTGAATCCCGATGCTATAAAAGAGGCGTTCTTAGCGTAAGAAATAAATTTAGGAATAAGTAAATTAGCTTATATTTTTAGTTTTTAGTCTCTTATTCGTTTACGTATTAGCTTGGCCACTATTATGTGTGTAAGTTATTGTTATATTCGCTATGGTTTTACATGCTCTATTGCTCAAAGTTGTCTATATGTTGCTATTAATCTGCAATTTTGATCCACCTCAAAAAAATTGTTAGCATGTGTGTTTATCCTCAAAAATAAGACAAATGTCTCTCTCCTAATCCCTTGGTCTTAAGTATTCTTCTTTAATTTTGCCGTATCTAATAGTAACTATGTATTGCCATTCAACTTTGCTACCTCGTTGTGATCTGAGATCCCTTATTAAGGTAGGCCAGAAATGCAATGTGATTAGGGTATATTTTGTGTGTTTTATTGATAAGATGAAGTCGGACCTGGAATGCAATGGTTTCTCTTTATAACGTATAGTAAACAAGATATGCAATCTTTTCAGTTCAACTGGAAATTAGTTTGGTAGGCTTTTGTGGGCAATTTGCTACTCGTGAACGATTGTTCGTTTTTTCCCTCAAGCACTACATTTTCCAATTTAATTCTTGTTTTTTTCTTGGTTTATCAGATTTATCGATAATGTCTACTTACTTTTAATGCAACTGAGAGGTTGTAGCTTTGAATTAAGTGCTAATGTATGGGTCTTTTGTTTTAGTGAAACGGAGAAGCTCTTTGAAAATATCGATGACGAAATATTCGCCAGGAAAACTCCAAGGCCCAATTCGGACGAACCTAAAAAACTTCCAGTTGTATGTTACCGCAACCTATCTTTATTAAAACCTGTTCCTCATTCTTGCCTCTACCTTTTATGTTCTTTGCCTCCTAGGATACCTCTCATTTTACTTTCGATGTATCTCAAGATGATGCTGAATTTCTGCGGGATTATCTTGTGAATCGTCGTTGGAAGGCATCGGAGAAGAAGCAGCAGCAGGGGAACGTTGCACAACGATCTAATCAATCAGACCCAGATAAAATGGCTGAGGACATTTTGGCAATTAAGAAGAAACCAGCAGCAACGTTATTAGGACTTGATGAGCCTCTGTTAACTGCTCCTGAAGAGTTAGAAGAAGACGATGATTTTCTTGTCAAGGCGAGGAGATTTGAAAATGCTTGGAATAATAATGATGAGGAGTTGGTAAGTTGTAATAATATCCAGTCATTTACTTTTCTCTCAAATCTATTTCCTGGGCCACATTGAGAATTAGTGCAGTTGAGCCATTTGATCTCATTTTAAATTACAAATTCTGATGTTATGGTTATCAAATAAATCATGATAATTTCACCTAAAGCTAATATCGGCTAATAAATTTAAATCTTCATTGGCATTTGCTTAGTATATTAAAGTCAAAACGTAGTATAGTTAGGACTTCATTGAACGTGTAACTTGTTCTCTCACTCTCTGAAATTACTTTTATTTCATGAAATGATCGAGATACCCTTTCACTTGAAATTTCTTTACACTTTCCTTCCTCGTATAAAAAATTCCTTCAAAAGTTCGTGTTTCGAGGACCTAATTAAATTACATGCATGCCCACTGTTGGGATCGGGCAGTAAGTGAAATTTGTAGATTTGGTTTCTTGAAGGCAAGGATTTATCTTAAGTTTTATATTGCATTAATAGTTTAAAATGAGCTTTGCTAGAAAATAGTACACTAACTAACACCCGCTTAGTAATCGAAACGCCAATTTAGCTGGCTTACCACTAGCAACATCCAATAATCTTTCGTGGAGCATGCTTCTGGAAATATCTATTTATGATTTAAGCTCGGGGTGTGCGATAGACTTACCTCCACGTGGTGCACCCTGGGCAATGTATACTCATTTGGCATAAAGGTCTATAACCCGGCAGTTGACTTCTGACTTCGAACTACCATCGCCCCCACTCTATGTCATATTCGACTACTTCCACAGTACTCTCCTCACCTTTTTTCTACCTTTGTGTCTGTCTCTGTTACATCTTTGAAACACTCTTCTTTCTGCCCCCCCCCCCTCGACTTTTTTTCCACTTTGATGTTCCTTCACCTCTGTGAAGCCTGAAGTCAACTAAAGGGCCTGCCATTTGATATAAATAAATAAATGATTTAAGCTCCGGTCAAATTATTGATCAGCAAATGCCCAAGTTAAATTTATACCTTGATTACATTTTAATTCTTCATTAAGTCATAAGGTTCTTATGGATAAATACTCAATGTCTTCTTCACACTTTAGGAGAAACAGTACCCAGCAACCACTGCTTCGCGTTATCGATTTGAAGAGGATGACAAGGAGTTTGTAAGTTTTATCCCTTCACTTCTTGATTTATTTATACTTAATCTATGATTCCACTCACCCTTCTCTGTTTTCTATACATTCTCAATGTTTAGATCAAAACCTACCCCCGAAAAATCGAAGACACTCTCAGACAACCCTCTGGAAAGGGTATGACACGAGCGGAGAAACGCAAAGCCCGAGCCGAGCGTAAAGCGGCTGAAAAGGCCGCGAAAATGGCCGATATTGAAAGGCTAAAACGACTGAAGATGGCTGAATTCGCCGAGAGGTTGGACCGAATTCGGAAGAGTTGTGGTGATGGACTCGCTTTGGAGGCGAATCTTAATGTGGATGCCGAGACAGGAGATGGTGCTCAAATGAACGAAGTATGTTATTTTGCGCGCCTCTGTTGTTACTAAATTGTATTATTTTGTTCTTATCGAGATATGGTTATTATCTATGTTGAAAATCCAAAGAAGTGCGTTTTGCGGAATGACATGACCAACTGTTGACTTTAACCGACTGGTCAATCGGCTCTAAATTCTGTGGTTTTAAGTCAACATTAGTGAATCTAGGTTTTAGATCCTGAGATCTGATTATTGAAACGCCAACTGGTTCGAGATCAAGATTTGGTTGGAGTAGCAATTTCTAGTGCTTGTGTTTGCTGTCTCATAGGTTTGCTCTGCATTTAGGTTTTGGTGATTGTTAGTTGCTGTTCTTTTTTAATATTTACTCATTTTACAACCAGGAATGATTCATACAACACAAAACATTTTTCGCCTCAAACCTTAACTGGCTCCGCCTGAATGTCACAATTCCACATTCTTCCCTTCCCCCCTCTCATTCATTTCACTGTCTAATCCAACTATTGGTCCTTTCACTCGCTAACGCCCTAGAAAGATCGTTGACTCCATTGGGGAGATCTAGACTACTTTCAACTGCCAAATATCCATTGTAAAGAGTACCTGGCATATGCATACAGAAAGTACAGTAGAAAATCTGCCATAAATTTGCTTGCTTCGAGGGGGGGGGGGGGGGGACTTTGGATACCATTGTACGTGGTTATTCGTTAGCTGAGAGCGATTGATCTTGTCGATCTTAAAGGTGGTGGAATGAGATATATGAATATTTTCGCTTACTTTGTACTTATATGTATGCATTGATTCCTTACAGGTCACTGAAGAAATGATTGATTGCTTAGACAACGACTGGGATCCCGAAGCACACGACCGCCTTATTGCCAAGCTCTTCAACGACGATTACTACGGTGCTTCGACAGCAGATGATGCCCTTGAGGAAGCTCCTAAAGTTGAGTCCGATGAAGAGGACGCTGGTTTCTTGCAAAATCTCGATACTGGTGATTATGAGGACTATCTTCCCAGACAGGTCTGTTGAAAAACCATTTCACTAGTAGGATATCAGTTTTGCCATATCTAATGGTATTATGTAGTATATTACTGTGTAGTGCACGTAACGTTTCGTTTATATTTCTGTGTTGTTATTTTAGCACGCCTACAGTGGAAATGATGAAGAGGATAAGGACTCCTCTAAATTGGAAAATAAAGACTTAAAGGGAAAAACAGATGAAACAGAGACCTCTGCTCTAGCACGCGCAGCAAAAGAGATCTACTCAACTTTGGTCCCTCGAAAACGCGGTAAACGGGCACGCGGTCGTTCCCTTCTAAGAACTGCTCTTGATCGCGAAAAACCCACCTATAATCCCCAGCAATATCCAAAATTTGAAGAATATTTCGATCAATTCTATCAGCTTGATTGCGAGGATATTATCAATGGTTCTGGACCCGGAGATGATGTCTTCTGTCGATTTAAGTATCGACAAGTGAAACCAAATGACTTTGGATTGACTGTGGATGAGATTCTCAAAGCAGATGAGAAGGAATTGAATCGTTGGGTCTCAGTGAAGACAATGTGTGCTTATAGGTGAATAGATCTTTAAATTTTTTCCGTTCTCTTATTAGAAAATAGTTTATTTCTCACGTATTTCTTGAAAATTTACCCACTTTATGTTTAAGGCGTTTGTGCCAAATTCTTTCTTTTGCGCTAGGATTCATGGGGTTTGGTGAGTTTGAAGATTTAAATTGAGCAGAATGAAATGGTTCGCTTTCTGTTCTCGTTCTTCCTCCTCTCACACACTTGAGGAGGGAGAGAAGAATAAGTGCGTAGATTAGAACTCCCAAAGCATCAAAGATCTCTGCGCAATTCCCACTAGAAGAGAAAGCGAGTGGGAGGTGCTCATGGGGTGAGACCGTTCTCACTTGCCTTTTTATCTCTTCCCACGCTTTTGTCCTCTCCCTCACTCCAAAATTTAGCCAGTTGGGTGGTCCGAGTTCATTGGAAACTTTTGATAGAGTTTGGCCTTTTTATAGGATGCTACTATATGTTGTTTGTTAAGCGGTAATAATTATTCTTAACATTCACTTAAACAAGTGCGTTTCTAACACTCATCTCGTGTTAAGGAGCAATAAGGCACTCCTAATGTCCACAGTAAAACTACTTTTTGAAGATCAATCAAGTTTTGCTTGGAGTTTGCTCCTTTCAATACCCGTTGAACCTCCCTTGGCGTTTCTCTCACTGGAATGCCAAGAAGTAGCTGCAACCACATGCATCTTAGTCAATTGGAAAACAACGAGAGGGAAGGAGGAAAATTAAGACATGGAGATAAAATCGCTTGCCTTGTGGTGGGCTATAATAACAAAAGTTTTAAACATTATATTGTTTGAACGAGGATAGTTATGTAGTCATCTTTTTTTGCTTTTGAGTTCTGGAAAGGGGCTTTTAACCAATGAAGTTTCGGCCTTATTTTCGAATGTGATTCATATCAAAATGTCTCAACGTTTCCCCGATATTTCAAATGCTTAATAAGATTATCCATCATCCTTCCTTGGACAGTGGTTTCTGACGATATTTACCATTTTGCTGCAGAACTGAGGAGGAAGAGGAGCGGGATCTTAGGAAGTACCATTCCGCAAGAATGCTTTCCAAAAAGACAAAGCTCATTCCTTCCCTCTTGGAAAATGAAGACGAGGAAGGGGAGACGCCCGCAAGTGATAAAAAAAGTGGAACTGAATTAGATGACGGACGGCGTATTTCAAAGTAAGTCGCTTTTTTCTTGCATGTAAGCAATGCACTTAGCTAAGAGGAAGAAAGTGTACCTCTTTTGTTATGGAATTTCTATGCTCACGGCTCATTCATTCATGATAAAGAATCTAAACTATGTATATGATTCAAGTTATGTTAGTTTGTAGTCTATTGTGTGCGAGGATTTACAGTGTTAGTGTTTTTAGTCATGTAGAAATCAATATTAGAGTAGGACAAACACCCGATTTAGTTGTCCAATGTGATAAAATGAACTATGTGTGGGCCATGTCTGTTAATATTTCTTCTGTACAGTTAATGAGATGTTAGTTTACGTTACATAACACCATCGTGGGATATTCTTTTTTATCGCCTGGATTTTAACTATTGTTAATATTGTTTGGCTCACGCTAATTCCTCCCGGTTTTAAATCCGCAGGAAAGCATTGAAACGTCTCCGAAAGAAGCAGCGTAAAGCAGAGCTTTTCTCAGCTATAGTCGCAGCTGAACGCGATACAAGTGGAAGGCAGCTGGATGCCAATCTTCAGCTAAATGGGGGTAAATCTAGTGCTCCATCTGGAGTGGGCGAGAAGGTAGAGGAGTTGAAGGAACTGGCGAATAATGAACAGGAATCGCGTCCTATAAGGAAACGAAAGTTGGAAATTGCCGAGTTGGAGAATAAAGATTCCGTGGTAGATGAAGCGAAGCCGGAGAAGAAAAAACGCAAACATCAGCATCAAGTCAAACGATCTTCGAAGCATCCGAAACTCTCTGATGAGCGTCTAAAGGCTGCTGGCATAGATCTGAAGTCGTACAAGTACATGAAAATGACGGGGAAGATGTGAGAAGTGTGAATTGGAGTAACTCACTGATATGTACATTTGTATATCTATTTGAAAATAAAAGTGAGATTCTTATTTACCTGTTATCTACACGAATTTCTTACTTCATGAAAGGATGAATTTGAGAGAAGACGAGCTGCCAACGTCCATTAGTTTCACTCGTAACAGCCTTATAATTTATTAGATTAAATCAATTTACAAGATATGATGTGTTGGAATTAGTAGTGCTCTAGAATTGTTCCGTCGATGAGGCGTGTTTGCACACACGTCTCCTCGAACACTGCTAATCTGATTCAATAAGCACGTTAATTTCCCTTTTTTCAGCCTTTATTAATACAGAAATAACCTATTGTAAATTGGGAAGAAACGGAACATTCAATTTTAGGTAGAAAAAGGGATAATTGAACTGAGTCATGGATGAGGGGGGGGGGGGAAGTTACTTCATCTAGGTCCAGATACCTTAAGACTGACTTCATCTGAAAGCTTGATCCGGATCTCCCCATCCTATCTTCATCTACTCTTATAAAATCTGGATGACATTTGAGGTGTTTTACATATCAACGGAAGATTGTTGGCTTTGGGAGGGATTCAGGGGTGGTGAAGTGCAGACACTGCCTTAGTACGCTCATGGTTTCAAATAATTATGCGTTTTGAGTCATAGCACTGGTGTTGCTAATAAAAACATTAGCCCTCAGGGGACGCGTTGCGTCTTCAAAAACTTAGGTTTAGGAGACTTATAAGCATCAACAGTACATTGGAATTCTGCAGAGGTCTCTAACAATGCTCAGCCTTAATACCTTTGATTCAGTGGTACATTATCATCTTCGCAGATTTAACCATTATTGCCAAGTTCTCTAAACGCCAATTTTTGTTTGAATATAACCTCATAGGTAAGCCTCTTAATTAATATTATGCTGAAAAGATATTGCAGCCCTTCATTAAATGCTCGTTACCAAATATCGATTCGCAAACTTCGATTTGGCAAACGCCCATATTGGTCACTGTGTCATCGATACACCACTTCAAAAACTTACTTGGTTTTGGTATTGATCAAAAATTCCCTGGTCCTTGGAAAAACGCAAAGAAAGCGCCACTTTAGAATCAGTTGGAAGATTCGTTGATTAAGATCTATTAGGTTGGCAACTAAATCATTGCCGATTTCAAATAAGAAGGCAAATTCGGATTTTTTGTTTAAAATATAACTTTATTCAATTAGATATTGGCCGTTCTTGTCGATGACCTTTTTCCATCGTTCTGGCAGAGTAAAAATTCCCCGTTCGTAAAATGTCTGGTCTTTGCTATTAAAAAACTGAATTAGGTGTGATCCGATATCATCCGCGTTGTTAAAAATTTTACCATTTAAAGAGTTTTGCATGGAACGAAACAAATGGTAATCCGAAGGCGCAAGGTCAGGGCTATATATGGGGTGGGTGTGACAAAACATCCCAACCCAGTTCCAATAATTTTTGCCGAGTAACCAAAGATGTGTGGGGCCTTGCGTTATCATGATGGAAAACAACACCCTTTCGATTTGATAATGCTGGCCGCTTATCTTCGTTTGCATCCTTCACTTTTTCGAGTTCTTCAACATACACATTTGAATTTATCGTTTGGTTCTGCGGCATGAGTTCAAAATACAAAATTCCTTTGTGATCCCACCACACTGACAGCATAATCTTTTTTTGGTGAATCTCTGCTTTTGATACTGTTTGGGCTGGTTGATCTTGCTTCACC